TTGGTATAAAGAAAAGGATAAAAACATATAGAGGGCAACATAGGCCATGTCTCCTTCCCTTGGTCTAGGCGGAATCAAGAGCAGTACCCTGCAGAACATATTACCTAATGGACGTCTAATTTACGGATGAACCACGTCAAAGCAAATAGCTCGGTACATTATATTGTCTCATGTTAATCGTAACTTGGTACGGTTCTGCAGCAAGCTTACGAAAAGAAGAGAAAGGGGAAAGTAGCCTAGGTTTTGGTGATCATTAAAAAAAGGCCAAAGCCCCAATACTCATCTTGGAAATGGAATGCTATGGAGTCATTCTGCCTCGGTTGCATGATATAGCGCACAACTCTTCCGCGTTCTGCGTCGGCCATTTGAAGGCGGGCGGTTGCGGCGTGTCGGTTGGCATGTCGCTATGGTGCCTCTGGTGCAAATGGCGAAAAAATATTGGGCTCCTTAGCAGAAGCCACGCAGCGCCTGCCAAGAGCACAATATTTCTCGTGCTAGGCGCATTGACCCTGCACGCCTTGTCGTTTAGCTTGTCTTTCATGGGCACCCCCCCCTTGCCCCCACTGTAGAGACACACTGTTGTTCGACTTCATGAGAGGTGTTTCCTTTCCTAGCGGAACAGATGGATAAGTTTACAGACTAATACTATAATAATGGAGCAGACAGTTGCACTGTGAGGCTCTGGTTGTGTAGTTAACATAGATTCAAGGGGGTTTTCTTCATCCATGTGAAAGTGACTGGGCTCGCAACCCATGGGAGTGTAGTTACTACAGCTGACGTTGCATATCAAGTGGCCGGCGGAGTAATAAGAAACTTGAAGATATCTCAATTCCCCCAACTTCATTGATGCATAGCATCACATTGTGGGTGCTGCACTTCTACGGCTGCCTAGCTACCCAACTCACTGGGAAGAATCTCCTAGCAGCGGAGCCCCGGATAAGTACGTTCCCTTAGCGTTGCACAACGTCGGCGACGTCCATTCCAATGCCGGTGTAGTTCTTTTGCCCTGCCAAACTTAGCCTAGACATTGTTACAGCCGAACAGCATTCATTTCAAACGTGGAATCGACAAACACGCGTTCCTTGTGCGGGACCCCACAAGGAACCTATCCCTACTCACGTTTTCTCATTATCTTTCGAATGACTACGGGGAGAACCGTACCCTTTCAGGTAATCATAAAATGTGGCTCTGCATCTTACGAAGAGGGACGGGGAGCAACAACGAAGAAAACACATTTGGTATAAGGCCATCCCCCTATTTCTGTGGGTGAGCTGGTTACCACGGAATGTGTATTTGAATCCTATATAGTAGGAAGTATTAACATGGGACAATTTAGCGACAGGGGGTGGAAGGACATTTGCCTCTTTGCCACTTCCCATCGACGTGTCGAGCCATCTAGAGAGCTATTTCATGAGCTTACAAGAGTTGACAGGTTTATCCATGGTGGCTCGACGAGCTTGCTCCAGCTTCACAAGAGCTTCACAAGGTTTCACCAGAGTGAGACTTGTAAACCGGACCTAGTGAGCTGAAGGGTGAAATGCCCCCCCCCACCGTCGCCGATCTGCGCCTAATAACATTTCCATTTGAATCAATGTGAAGGCTACTTTCAAATGTTGAGATATCTTACCTGAGTTTCCCTTATCGAGTAGATTACTGAGCCTGTAACGACAACCACGAACGATACAAAGTAGAGGTAGTGGAACTGAAATCGGTATTATAAGAGCACTCAAATAGACAATATTTGTGATTCATTGCGAAAAGATTACATAGGGGCTTTTTACTGGCCTGACATTTCGACCTTCTCGTGTTCTTCAGAGGCCTGAGACTGGCTCGGACCTTACCTTCTGATTGGTTACCTATGTACCCAGTTACCCAAAGCGTTAGGCCAATAAAAGCAGCAACATTTTACCACGTGGAGATTGTTAGACTACATGGAGCGTTTGGTATAATATCTTGTGGACCGCTAACTCTTACGGAGTCTTTAATATCACTAACTTTTCTGCTACTGTGAATGGAGCCCCAGGTGAAATGCCCGTTGCAAGAGTGCCAGTTCTTCTCTGATGCACAGAGGGCAGCGCATGGCAGTAGCGTATGTCACGTCAATGTTTTTGGCAACATTATTTGTGACTGATGCGAAACATCACAGAAAGAGGAGAGCCATTGTAGAACGGCGTCGCTGAAAGTGGGAGCGAAAAATGTGTCGCTTTATTGAAACAGTACGCTGCCCGCATTTCTCGCAGCACGGAGTAGTCCTGCTAGAGAGTTAGGAAATTTAGATGCGGCAATTAAATGACCACTCCTACCACAAGTTTTAATTAACATGGTGCAGACCTACCGAGTCCTTAAATAGAAAGAGTCCGAAAAGAAGTGAATAGAAATCAGCAGTGAGTGTGGCAAGGTTGAACATCAACGCGGACGTCTTCTGCAGCACGATAGTGACAAGCGAGTAAAAGGTAAACATCGACAGCGCAAATAGAATGAAGCAGCCTATCGTGGCTGCGCTCCAGTCCATCTGGGCCAAATTCTTGTGCTCCAGGACAGCCCTAAAATGGAAATTATCGGAAATTTATTGGATTAAGAGGTCTATGCGAGAAAAATGCTGATATCATTGAAAGAGGACAACCGTATCGCGTTATGGTGAAAGGCATTAATACTGAATACAGCTCATATCAGAGGGCGAAAGGGAGGTTCCAAGCACCTTGTGAGGATGACTGGGTATTCCAAACCACCTCTCTCTCTCTCTCTCCTCACACCACACACACACACACACACAACTCTCTCTCTCTCTCTATGCAAACGCCTCTAGTTCTCTTATGTGTGGACCCTCACAGCTACCACGAGGCGTATTTGGAACTCTCTATCTTCCTCAAATATGAAATGTAGATGCATATTATTGCGTGAAAGGCAATTCTGCTTTGACTCGAACTGTTTTGCGGCGTAAGTTGGATTCTCCTCTTACGTGGACCCTCATGCGACATTTTGAATGCGACTCAACCCCTTTCCATATGATGGCAAACCGTACACTTACCTCCGAGGACGGTCTCTTCCATGTGGGGGTGGGTGGGCCTCCAGCCGTAGTAGAGGGTCACTGTCACTTCCCCGGTCAAGGAAACGGGTCCCCAAGGCAACGATACCTAGGTGCCGTCTCACAACTTCGCCGCACGACCAGCCATACTCCCAACCATAGCCAAACGCGCTACTCGTCTGCTTCCTCTCAGTTGTGGCTATTCCATATCGTTGAGGGCACGTTTCGCTACGGTATCTTGGTATTGACGTAAGTGCAGCACATTGTGGAGTACGGAGACGGCACCCAGGTATCGTTGCCCTCCAGTCCCGCTCCCGCGCGTTTTTGAGCCGAGAAAGAGACACGCTAATATAGCTACTAGCTGGGAACCCACTCATCCCCACATGGAAAAGACCGTCCTCGGAGGAGAGTGTGCAGTTCGTCTTCAACCGCATTTCAAACGTTGTCATGATTCTGAATTTCGAAACAAAAATAAAAACTCAGATTGATAGAAGAGTACTATTTGGTGAATGTAACTTACAGTTGTACACCCGAGATCAGCGATCCGAATAGTCCAACCATGCCGAGGTATTCCATTCGACTGTGCTGTTTCACAAGAAACTCTTCAGAAACGTTCGCAATAGCGTACAGCATTGAACCGCCCAGACACAAGAGATCGCCGACAACACGATGAGTGCCTGGAATTTCCATCGTATGCAGAAAACCTGGGCTCCCCTTATCGAGCAAATTACGCGACAGGGTGGTCAATCACCCTATATTAATTGCGTTCCACAAGAAAACTCAAAAAAGCCACTTCTACTCAGGATGGCATTATTCCCACTTTTGCACAAGGAGTCATTTGAATGCACTCAGGATTATAAGCACCTTCTATCTGAACACGATGCACATGAAGTGCTCATACATTTATCCTTAGGCCGCGTTCACATTTTGTGACTGCGTCTGAACGCGAGTAACGAAGCCTACGTGTGAGCTTGGCGCGGTGCCAAACTTGTTCTTCACCAGTTGTTGAAGCGGGCAAGGGGGCAGTTTGGGGGCATTTGCTTTACCATATGATGTCGTCGACCGCCTCTAGGCAGTCGGTTTATCGACGTTTGACAGTGGTTTAAGATAGGCCGGCTAGACATATCTTACCTTCAAGGATTTTTACCGAGATTTCACAATATTACTAGTCTTCTACCACTTTTTGTCGCAGACGCTCTTCAACAAGAAGGCAGAGAACGGCTTTGATAGGGTGACACACTCATACTGGCTGACACGCCCAACCGTCCGCAGAGAACTATAGTGTACCTCCTATGCTTCCTTTTCCGTCGAGTATATCAGCCCATATCAGACACGCAATGCCTACCAAGCAAATACAAACACCTGGAAAACTAGCTGGTAAACTTCATAGTGATATTTAGCTTGGTGCATCTGATCTTCTTCCACTCTACCTATAATGTGTGAAATTAGATACCGAACCGAGAGAAATAGCCAGGAGAGCAGCAATACCATTGGAATTGTAGAACAGTCGAGTAGCTAAATTAAGGAATTGACTGGTCCGAATCCATAGCGGTATGTGGTCTGATAGACCGAAAAGTAGCTTGACCTTGACTCACCTGTACACTGGTGAGATTCGTGAATTGGTATGCGTACACGATCATATAGTTCGCTTCGACATCAATCAGTGCTAACACAAAGTACTGCAGACCACGCCGCCGCATGACACCCAACAGACCGTCGTCGCCCGTCTTGCACGATAATGCCGTGCAATAGACGAAACATAGCAGAAAATAATTTGTGAACGATTGAGCTGAAAACAGAGGCTTCAGTTGTGGCAGGCTGTGCATTCCATACAGATATATGGACGATTTACTCATGTCATCCTAATCGACCGCGGAGAGATGAAAGGTTTATTGTATA